CCGCCGCTGTCGAGAGCAGCGCGGCGGGCGTGGCGGTGCCCCCGCGCCCGCCTGCGCCCAGCTCGCGCATGTTGTGCGGCGCGGGGCTGGGGTTGGGGCTGCCGAGGTCGAGGCAGCGGCGGAGGGGGCGCTGAGGACGGGGCGGCTGCCGCTGGGAAGCGCCGTGCTGCTGCTGCTGCTGCTGCTGCTGCTGCTGCTGCCGAGTCTGCTGCTGCTGCTCCTGTGGGACCATGCGCTCCTCTGCTTGCGCCATTGCCGCCGCCGTCGCATGCTGCGGGCACGTGAGGGCAGCGCGCAAGAGGGCGTCGCAGGGGCGCGAGGGCAGCTCGCTCGTCGCCGCGACTCAACTACACACCACTCCCTGACCGTGCGGGCTGCGGCCCCAACACCCATCCCCTCCCAACCCAAATCGACTCAGTCTTCTTGTCCTCGGGGTGGCGCACCGCCCCCGCCGCCCCAGCCGCGCCTCACCTCGGACCCAGGGGTCTGCAGAAGGGCCAGCAAATCCAGCTCCCCCGCGCTCAGCACCGCGCACGGCGCGGGCGACATCGGCCCCGCCGCGCCGACGCCTCTGCAGCTGACACCGACGCCGGAGCCGGCGCCTGTGCCCGCGACGGCGGCGGCGGCGGCGGCCGCGACGCCGGGGGGCGCGCCGACCAGGTCTAGTAACGCGTCGAGCGAGGCGGCCCCCTGGGGGCCCCTACCGCCGCCGGGGACGCCGGCGGCCGCGCGGACGCCGGGGGCGCGCCGTGTGGGCGGGGACGCCATGAACGATTCTAGCAAGTCTGGGTCTTGCAGGCTGCCTGGGTAGGGCGCGGGGGCGCCTAGCAGGGAGCCGGGGGCGGGGCCGCCAGTGTCGGCGCGCTTGCTGCATGGGGTGGCAAGGAGCTCCGCCGCAAACTGCAGCGCCGCCGCCTCGTACGCTGCGGCGGCGGCGCGGCCGCCGCCGGCGGCGCCCGGGGGGAGCGGGGATGCGAACAGGCTGGAGAGGCCGCTCATAGAGGGCGCGGGCCGCGCCGGGGAGTCGGCGGCGGCGGCGAAGCCTGGCCCGAGGCCGGTCTCAGGCCCGAGGCCCGCACGGCGCGGGGACGGCTGGAACAGCGGGATCTGGGGCAGCGGGCTGCCCAGGAAGCCGGCCGCGCCGCCCATGGAGCCGGTGGGGCTGCAGAGCAGCGCATCCATGGACGCGTCGATCATCGCCAGGTGCAGGCCGCCACGGCGCGCCCGGTCCGGGGTGCGCGTCGGGCTCAGCATGGCCCAGTGCGCGGGTGAACCAGCTGCACAGTCCAATGATTGATCGACCTGCGTGGTAAAACGTGGTGTCAAGACCAGTTCCAGGGATCTGCAGACTCCTCCCGCCGGTCGTTTTGCTACTACCTGCGCTGCTGGGAGCTACAAAATCAAAACTACAGGTAACTAGGCTTCTATTTTCATCAGCGCTGCGTGTGTATCATCCTGCTGGCGCGGCCCGCACTTGCCGCAGGACTCAGCTTTGCTCTATGCTCGCGTGTCGTCGACTGAGACCATCATAAGTTATAAAAGGCAACACGACTTGTGATAGGGCGATGCGAAAACTACCTTCTGCGTCGGCCTGCGGAGCACCCCCGCCATCTACACTTTGAGACACTTTGAAATTTAATCCCCCCAGGAAGACCAGAAGGGCGTCACGACTCTCCCAAAATGTTTCAAAAAACCTCACATATACTCAGCGGCAGCCTGAAACGGGAGCGCCCCTCCACACCGGCAGCTCGTGATCACCCAAGGCCCCCCGGTCAGCCGCGCATCTGTGGACGCAATACATTTTGTTTATGAAGTTACTTCAATCTTATATTCGCCTCTGCTGAGCGCGTGCTGCCTGATCTGTGGCTTGCTGTCACGGACGACCGGCATACGCAATGCAGCGAATGGTCCTGGGAATGCAGAGGAGTCTGATATGTGGTAAGTTTATCGCATACGGATTGGACTCGCACATCCGTGTTGTTGCCGTGCGAGGGACCGACCATGTCGGCGGCCACAGCGGCGGCTTGGTGCAATCTACATGTTGCTCTCCAGCACCCGCAGTGCGCAGTAACACTGCGAGAAATCATCACCCTACTTCCCCAGGCTCCCATGCCCTGCGTGGCGCGTGGCAGCTGCAGCGAGGAATACCCGACACTGCAGCACCTGGTGGCGGGCCCGCCAGGTGAGCGGCGGTGCCGGCCCGTGAGGCGCATGGCTCTAGGCGGCAGCCGCATGTTGGCTGATTGGGTATGGCATATGATGGCTCCTCCACGTGAAGCTCCACCCCTGCGCAAGAGCATGCTCATGTAGTGCTGCCTGCGCCTGACTGATGTGCATACAGTATTGAGAGCGATCGCGCGCCTTGTCATTATGCCTGATCTTGTCACCTTGGTCATGATACCCAGGTGCGTAGCAGCTGCGGCGGCCAGCCGCGATGGCGGTGGTGAGCGGCGGTCCGGCGGGCGCGGCGGCGGCAGCAGGAGCAGCAGGGGCGGCGGCAGGGGCGGCGGCAGGGGCGGCGGCAGCTTTGAGCGCGGAGGCAGGGGCCGTGGCGGCCGCGGGGGTGGCAGCAGCAGCTGGGAACGCGAGGGCGGCGACGCCGGCGGCAGCCCCTGGGAGCGCGGCGGCGACGGCGGCAGCAGGGGTGGCTTTGATGGGGCCCCACGCGGCGGCCGAGGCGAGCAGAAGCGCTTTTCCCTGTTCCCATCTGCAGACCAGGAGAGCGCCGAGCGCGGCAGCAGCAGCGGCAGCGGCAGAGGCGGCTGGGGCGCGAGCGAGGGCGGCCGGAGCGCGGGGTATGGTGGCGGCGCCGACGAGGAGCGCGGCGGCAGGCAGCAATACCGCGGCGGCGGGGGATTGTACCGAGGTGGCGGCAGGGGTGAGGACCGCGGGAGAGACGACGATTACGCGAGCCGCAGGGACGACTACCGCGGCCCCAGGGACGGCGGCCGCGGCGGCGGCAGGGACGCGCCCCGACGCGGCGGCCAAGAGCAGTACGGCAGCGGCGGCAGGGGCTACGGCGGCGGCGGCGGCGGCAGCGATGATGATGAGGAGTATGGGGGCGGCCGCGGGGGGCGGTACGATGAGGAGGGCGACGACGGGGAC